TTAGGGTTTTAGGGTTTATGGCTTAGGGGTTTAGGGTTTAGGGTTTTAGGCTTTTAGGGTTTTAGGGCTTTAGGGTTTTAGGGTTTAGGGTTTAGGGGTTTAGGGTTTTAGGGTTTTAGGCTTTTAGGGTTTTAGGGTTTAGGGTTTTAGGGTTTAGGGTTTACACAGCTACAGTAGAATGTCCAGGGTTACCTGCAGCATCTTGCCTTCGTGGAAGAGAGGACGCAGCCTGCAAGCTTGAACTCAAAACCTTCCACATACGAGACCCTTCCAAGTCAACGCTACGAGCAGAGGGCCATGTTGCATCCGTCGAGCAGCGGATCCACCGGGCAGATGTACTGGTGGAACCCCTTGGCAGTGGTACAAGATGGTGAAGGCCCTTGCATGTTGCTTTTTGATCTGCTTTTCAATATGTAAGCCCAGCTGCAGTCTGCTTGTCATTTCATCTGCGCTGGCCCTGCGCTGACACCGGTGAGGCCTTGGATCTACGTGAGTGATCTTTCGTCTAGCAATCTCTGAAATCTTGATGCTTACGTACAGGTTGATCTAAGGCCACATGCATTAAGGCATCTAATCGTCCTCTCTCGAGGCATCGCAGATTTTGCTAGTCGTCCAGTTCAGCCTTAAACCCTAAACCCTAAACCCGAAGCCCGAAACCCTAAACCCCAAACCCTAAACCCTAAACCCTAAGCCCTAAACCGAGTCTGGAAGCCCGACTCTTCCTGGAAGCAGTTTTTCTGTTGAGGGTTTAGGGTTTAGGGTTCGAACCTGCCGTTCCTAAACCCAGCTGAACCCGGAAAGGTCCTTGCCACATGGACAGGGTCTCATACCTTTTTAGGGTTTTAGGGTTTTAGGGTTTAGGGTTTAGGGTTTAGGGTCGCAGACCCTGACATCTGCAAGTTATACCTCGAACCCCAACCCTTAAGCCTTAAACCAAGCGCCTTCGGCCTAGAAAGGCATAGTGATACTCCGGTTATTCAGACCTCCATCTTTGCCGAACCACCAAGGCCACCCCAGCCAGATGATCTTGGGCGCTCCCACACGATGCTGCTGGCCTTACATGAAGGGTCTTGAGATGTAGGGATAAGGGTTTAGGGGTTGGGTTGTTGAGGATTAACCCGCATGAGCGACAATAGCATGAGGGCGCAATGAACACCGGATTCCTCTTGGATGACTTAACGAAGCGACTACTTAATGGCTCTACAAGGCAGCTGATCAACGGGGCGGTGTTTTCTTTGCGGGTGCCTACTCTTCTGTGGGAAGACAACCAACCATCTCGATGCAGCCTAGCCACGAAATCTCCGAGAAAAAAACTGCAAGCGGACAGAAAGAAAGCTTCTAATACAGGGGCCTTAATAATTAGAATCGGGTGTTGGGGCCCATTGTACCGTAAACAAACTAAGGAACCCACCAAAATCGTATTGGCAATTAATTAGGCCCCTACATTGTGGCTACCCGTCGCAAGGCCAGCTCGTGTGCCCGTGGTGCGACCACCAGGTCTGGCAGGGCTTCAGACTTGGAGGAAGGTAGTAGGGTTTAGGGGACAGAGTAAGATGCAGGTTTAGGGTTTAGGGTTTAGTGGACAGAGTAAGATGTAGGCTTTAGGGTTTAGGGTTTAGGGTTTGGCGGTTTGAGGGATTCGGGGTTTGGGTTTAGGGATGGTTGCTCAACGCGGGGTCTAGGGTTAAGCGTTCAGGGCTACTTGTGTGGGGTTTCGGGTTGTGATGTTTGATTAGCCGCAGAGTGGTCGCAGTCGGCTGAGTACCTGAAAGAGTTGGGCTTCTGGATGCTGGTCCCTTCAAAGTATCCCTAAACCCTCAACCATGAATGTAGAGGTCTGAATGATTAACCAGTGTTGTCCCTTTCATAGTCCCAACAGCCAGCATACATCGAATGAGAACAGCCTTGATGCTCGGGTGTCGGATTTCGCTGTGGCTTTGCGCGGCGCGTCCAGCCTCCCTAAACCCGAGTTTCCTTAACATAGGGGCCTAAATAATTACCAACACGATTTTGGAGGGCTCAAATCGCCCTGCACCGCAGGGAACAAACAGCCCCAGAACGCCACAAGGGCGTTCGCAATCATTCCTTGGTCCCCGTCCTGGCATAGGAAGGAGCGCCGTCAGCGCTCTCGTGGGCGTCGAGCTCTACGTGCCGGCTCTACGATCACAAAAAGACAGAGGGCGCTTCTACTGGGCCACCACGCCTCCTCAGTCGACTTGCGCTACTCTCTGCTTCACATGGGCAAGCAGAACAAGAGGTCAGGATGGGCGAATCCAAGAGGGCAGGATGTCCGGCAAGGTCGGTCGCAAGGATCCTCGGAGTCGTGGCGATACTGGGATGGTGCGTGGAGTCCCAGGCAGGGAAGTGGCAAGGACACCCGTGCTGCCGCCTTCCCGGCGTACGACGACCGCTCAAGGGCCATTGCCCTCAAGACGGAATCGCAAGGTGGCAAAGGCAACAAGGGCCGTGGCCAGCCAGCCGAGGCTGCTCACGAGGAGCGCGATTCTGGGGGTGGCACGCTGGTACAGGATGCGCAGGATGTTCTCAACGTGGCGAGGAAGGCCGAACAGAAGGTTCGAAGTCTACAGAGTACCAGGGCGCAGAAGCAGGCGCTTTGGACGAAGTACGAGGCCGACCTCAAGCAGACGCTTATGAAAGAATATTCCAGGCATCAAAAAGACATGGACAGGATCAACACAGAGTTGGTTACGGCTACCAAGGCACAAGAGGATGCCCGTGCCCAACTCAGGGCTGTGGCCTTGGGCGAGCCAACGCCCATGGCGATGGAGGCTACGGGCGACGAGGAGGACTGGGACGCCATGGTTGCGGGCTGGAAGGCGGAGCAGAAGGAGACGGAGGCTACGGAGGCGGTGTTGAGGCGAGCCTTTGGCACGGACTTGTCTTCAGCACAGATCCGTGCTATGGGTGTTCAGCTGTTGGAGAGGAGTCTTTCGACGCCCCCCCGACGTCCACTTGCTGCACAACCTATGACTCCTCCGCCGGTCGCTCCTCCAGAGCTTGCAGCCTTCCTGTATTTCCGTGGTGGCTTGATGTCGACAAGCACTGCGAGGGGCTGTGCTGCTTGGTGCAGGTTGGGGGAACAACTCGGATCTGACACCCAGGAGGTCCCCAGTCAGCCCTACCTCCCTGCGGAGGCCCTACCAGTTATTAGGTTCCGCAAGGCCCTCAGCAGGTACCTGCGGGCTGAGAGACGGGAGGCACAGATTCGACTTCTGCGTGTAGCTTTCCTTGCTTTGGCGAGGGCTTGCAGAGGGGATGGCTTTACGGCTGGCCAGAGTACCCTGATTGACAGGTGGCTTGCTGTCATTGATTATAGTGAAGCCTTGGCGTTGGCTATGTACTATGATCATGGCAGGGAATTGAGGCGCCTTGTTTCAGTTGGCCGTCGTGCTTTCTTGCAAAGCCTCGTTGATAAGGCAGCTGAGGGCACTCTGCGCCAGCCCAAGGAGCTCTATGCCGCCATACGGAAAGCATTTCCTCAGGCCAAGGCTTCACGACGGGCAGCACTGTGTCCGTTGCCGACACTCCGTCTTGACGATGGTTCGATGGCGGCTACTTCTACTGAACGTGCAGCCTGTTGGAGGGAACATTTTGCGGCCCAGGAGGCCGGAGACAAAGTTTCGCCGCAGGAATACATTGCCTCCTTTAGTGCCTCCCGCCTTCCCGTTAAGCGGCCTTCCTTTGATATACAGCTGCTGCCCACGCTCGGACAAACGGAGCGTACGATACTTTCGCTGCGCAATGGCAAGGCATGTGGCCCTGATGGGGTAACTGCTGAGCTCCTCAAGCTTTCGGTTGTAGATTCTGCACGCCGATTGATGCCTGTCATCATGAAGTCGGTTCTTGCCGTCCGTGAGCCCGTGGCCTGGCGGGGTGGTGATTTGGTCCTTGTCGCAAAAAAGGCGGGACAGGTTTTGGCCTGCTCCCACTTCCGTTCCGTCCTAGTGGCCAACATCACCGGGAAAGTCTTCCATCGCTGTGTACGGTCCCAGATCACCCCTCTTCTTGAGGCAACACAGCCCGCGCTTATGACAGGCGCTACGCCAGGTGCAGGTATTGAGGTCCCAGCTCTGGCGGTGAAGAGCTTCCAGCTTCTGCTAGAAGCGCAACGACGACCTTGGGCTGTTGTCTTTTTCGATTTGCAGACGGCGTACTATGCGGTTTTGAGGCAGACCATCGTTGACAACACTGAGTCCGACCTGGCGCTCTTGGCATTACTGCAAAGGCTACGGCTACCGGAGCACGCGCTTGCGGAGTTGCGTCAGAAGCTTGATCAGCTGGCCGGTTTGCCTCATATCGGCGCGTCGGAACACTTGCAGGCTATGATAAGGGACCTTTTTACGGGTACGTGGTTCAGGGTCAGCGGTGACGCCGTGCTAACACTGACTCACAGGGGTTCTCGTCCCGGGGACCCGCTCGCAGATGCACTTTTTGCGGTGACCTTGTCTGCTTACCTTTGGTCGGTTGAGGAGGCCTTGCGGTTGCAGGGCTTGCAGCCGGACATGCCCAGGGTCCGTCGACAGGCGGACTGGGTTCAGGCGCCCGCCGCATGGTCGCTTGGCTGTCCTTCCTGGGCGGACGACTTTGCGCTCCCGCAAACGGGCAGAGATGGTGACGACTTGCTGCGTCGGGTTGTGGCCAGCACGGAGATAGTTGTTGCTCACGGCCGATCCATTGGCATGACCATCAAATTTGGTGTGGACAAGACGGCCGCTCTTATTTGCTCGTCTGTCGAGCGGGGTTCACACTCCCGTTTCCAGGTCGATCCAGAAGGTCATCGGTTTCTTGAAGTGCGCGATCTACTGGACGGTTCAGCCCTGATCCTTCCAGTTGTGGAAGCCTACAAGCATCTAGGGGGGATTTCGGTCTCGAACTGCAACCCCACGCCTGATCTCCACTTTCGCTTCTCGAATGCAGCTGGACTTGCCCGATCCCTGAGAAGACGGTTGTTCGCTTCGTCTTCCATACATGGGCTTCTCTTGTGCTTCGGGCGTCATGCCATCACCGGCTTTGGGAGCGCTACTATGTGGCCCTGTGGAGACATTTGTTTCGCAGACGTGCCGCTGATAAGCAGGATCACGCCTATACGGTGCTTCGGTGTGCACAGGCTGTTTCTCCCCTTCTTGCTTTGGCTAGGGCGCGTGCCAAGTTTCTTGCCAGGTTGATTCAGCGTGGCCCTGCTGCTTTGAGAGCACTGTTGCATGCCCATTGGGTGCTTCATCCCGCATCCTCGTGGCTTGGTCAGTTAGAGGCTGACATACGCTGTGTTGCGGTGTTTGTGCCTTCGGTACGTGAGCTCCTCTCCGCTACTTGCCCGGTCTCGGACTTGTTGGATGCCCACATGGCCCAGCCACAGTGGTGGATCCGGCAACTTAACGCTGCGGATAAGGTTTTTCGTCAAGAAATCGAGACATGGCACAGGCCCTCGTTCACTGCCGAGCCTTCGGCGACCCCACCGCCTCTGAAACCGTTCCGTTGTGCCACCTGTGGTGCGGATTTTCGCTTAAGGAAACACCTTCATGTGCATATGGCGAGGTCGCATCGTCAGTTCGCCCCTGCTCGGCACTATGCGATCTCAGAGTTTTGCCAAGTGTGTATGAAATGGTTCCGAACTGTTGAGCAGGTCCAGATGCACCGAAAACACTCTGCGGAATGTTTGCGTATGTCGTCGATGATGTACCCGCCCCTCTCGGTTGATGAAATGCGTCGACTGGTCGCCGCAAGAAGGTGCAGTCTGGCAGCTGGAGTGCTTTTACGGCACTACCAGGTCCACGCCGTGCAGCCATTACCCTTGGTCCTCGTCTCCCTACCGCACAGGAGCGAGCCGAAGACCCTCCTTCCGATCCAGAGTCCATATCCCTTGCCGCGCTAGGCTCTGGCTACCGCCCTACACAGGCCATCGTGTCCTGGATTGAGTGCCACATCTCTGGGGCCAGTACCGAAGGGGGGAGGGATTCAGCTTCTAGGTTTTGGTTGCGCAGGCCTTCGTCTCACTATTCAGCATGATTTTTGGGATGCGCCGTACAACCGGCTCGGACGTCCGCCAGAACAGAACAGAACAGAATACGATTTTGGGGGTTCCTTCGTAAAATTAAAGTATAATGGGCCCCAAACCTTATTCTAATTATTAAGGCCTCTGTGTTAATCTCTTTGGGAATTGAGGTGTATATCGAGTTTAGGGTTCAAATCAACGTTAAATCTAGGGCGGGCTTAATACTTTGAAAGAGAGTCCCTTCAACACACCCTCTTTCGTTCCTTCACAACACTTGGAGGTTCATGGGTAGTTATAAGTAGGACTATAAGTAGGGTAACTATACTTATAACCCTACTTAGGGGACTTATAACCCCACTTATAACTACATACCCATGAACCTCCAAGCAGAGATCAACCCTAGCCCAGGTCCTGGGTGTTTTCCAGTGATAAGAAGGCGGGTTAGGGTTTTCGGGATGCCGCTTCGCGGGAACCTCAGCAAAAACAGAACCCTAAACTCTAAACCCTAAACCCCAAACACTAAACCCTAAACCCTAATCCTGCGGTCTCGACCTCTTTCTTCTGCCACAGAAGACAGCGAGACGGGCACCACCAGCGAGGCTCGTGCGAAAGGGGGCATGGGCACCCGGAGATCCCCTGCCCTTTAGTGGAGGTTTAGGGTTTAGGGTTTGGGGTTTAGGGTTTAGGCGGAGAAAGGTACCCCAACAGACACATTCAGGACCCATCCATACTTGGAGGTTTATGGGTAGTTATAAGTGGGGTGATAAGTCCCCTAATATGGGTTATAAGTATAGTTACCCTACTTCTAACCTTACTTATAACCACCCATGAACCTCGAAGTAATGTAAAGACGATTCCTAAACCAAGGGGTACTGGGCTTGGGCTCAGCTCAAAGTGCATGGGGTCTTTTTACTGAGTGTCCAGTACTTAGGACGTAGCTCCATCCGTGATGGACATGCCTGTGACTTTGCGTTGTGGAATCTCGGTGCTGCACCTGTTCTTGGTGGTTTGTGAGAGTTTGGGTTTTCCTGATTCAGGCTCATGGCTTTACTAAGATTGCATTGGCACGGGAACCTGAGTTAAAATCTAAGCGTCCCCCGAAGGGAAATTGAGTTCTATGAGCCATTATGAAACCCTGCAAAATGCGACAAGATACCATTCTATGAAAGGACCGTTGATGGAGGGATGTTGAGTCTTCAGGCCATCGGAGCCGGATACAGCAAGCCCCAAACCGTAGAATCTGAAACTCAACGCCCGAACTCTGAACCCCCTGAAGTCTACAGCCCTGAACCCTAGACCCTGAACCCTAAACCCTAAACGCTAAAACCCTAAACCCTTCATGCCAAGAAACTCCTGAACCCTCATACCCTGAACCCCTGAACTCCTGACGTCGAAAGCCCAACCCTGTCCAAATCAATCCCTCCCATGAGGCAACCAACAGAGACCCCCCACAAGGTGTCATACCTTCATGTGGGTGAAGACAGGATCGTCTTCGCTGTCTTCGTTTGTTCAACAAGTCCTATGTCTTTTAACCCTAAACCCTAAACCCTAGATAGGCCCAAAACGATAGTCTAAATCTGAAGGACCCGGCACTAAACGCGCATAGCATCCCTCAAGGAAGCTTTGAAAAAGCCGTACAGCAGCCCTCAAAGAAGCCTCGTTCTAACTCTTCAGGCCCGTATATTGAACCCCTTTCGCCCCTATGATGGTTTTAGCTCGATATATCCCCAAAACCCGAAACCCTAAAGTTTTAACCTAATCCCCTAAACCCCGAAACCCTGAAACCGTAAAACCCTAAACCCTAAACCCCTCAACCCCCTCAACCCCTAAAGCCCCTAAAGCCCTAAAGCCCCAAAGCCCTAAACCCCAAACCCTAAACCCTCTAAAGCCTAAACCCTAAACCCTTAAAGCCCTAAAGCCCCAAACCCTAAACCCTCTAAAGCCTAAACCCTAAACCCTTAAAGCCCTAAAGCCCCAAACCCTAAACCCTAAACCCCTTTTGCCTTAAACCCCAAACCCTAAGCTTTAAGGCTCCTGTTTTCTCGCGCAAGGAGGACTCGAGCGAGAGCGCCGCAGAGCCCGAGGTCGCTAGGGCCCTGAGATTTCGGGTCTGAGGGTTTAGGGGTTTTGGGGTTATGGGGTTTTGGGCTTTTGGGGCTTCGGGTTTAGGGTTTAGGGAATTAGGGAGTAGGGTTTAGGACTTTTGCGGCTTCGGGTTTAGGGTTTAGGGAATTAGGGTGGGCTTTTGGGGCTTGGAAAGCAGGGTTTGGGGGTTTGGGGCTTTAAGGTCTAGGGCTTTGGGTTTGAATGAAGGGTGTGCAGTGTGGGATTTCGGATTTTGAAAGGATTTCGTCCTTTTTGTTTTGTTTATTTCGGGGCTTGGGGGAGGGAGAGCAAAGGGCTTTTGGGGTCTTGGGTTTGCAGCATGTGCTCTCGACTTGAATGTGGCTACTTTGGCGTTCTTTGGGTTTTGGCATATGGGAGGTTCTTACCCTGTATTGTTATTCTTCTTCTTATTATTATTCTTAGTATTATGATTATATTACTATTACTATATTGTTGTTTTTTTATTATTGTTATTATTGTTACTGTTACTATCATTGTTATTTTTATTACTATTGTTTGAAGCGTGGAGGGACTCAGTGTTCGGAGTTCAGGGATTCAATCTACGGCCCTGATTCATAATACCGACACTATTCCTTACTCGCAGTTCCTTGCAGCCCAAAACCCTGTTCTGATGACTACGTCCTCTATCTGAGCCCCGTGAACCCTAAACCCTAAACCTTACACAGCCCAATGTCATGTTCTGATGATTAAGGCCTCTACAGTAGTCGGGAACCTGGAGCAGACAATTCTTGCGGGTGCGTGGCCGAGGTGATCCAAGAAGAGGGCAGCGAGAATCTACATCGGCAGAGCACTTCCTACAAGATACACAAGGCCCATGAGCCTGAACCCCAAACCCTAGGCCCTAAAGACTAAACCCTCAACCCTAACCCTAAACCCTTAACCCTGAACCCAAAACCCTAAACCCTGAACCCAAAACCCTAAACTCCAAACCCTAAACCATGGGTTTTGGTTGAGGGTTCTGGTATCTAAGACCGGCCTACGGCTGCGGAAGAGGTCGGGGTTCGGGACGAGTCTCGGGTTTCTGGCCTTGTGACAGGGGATGTGGGAGTAGGCTCTCGTGTTCAGGGTTTGGGGTTTATAGGGTCTAAACTTTAGGATTTGGGGTTTAGGTTTAGGGTTTAGGGTTTAAGTTTAGGGTTTGGGGTTTCGGGTTTAGGTTTCGGGTTTAGGGTTTGAGTTTATGGTTTGGGGTTTAGGGTTTAGGGGCTTCGGGATACAGGCAGCGTCGACGCAGCCTCCGAGCCCTCAACCCTGCACCTTCAATCGTAAATGCTAGGCCCTACTCTCAACCCTAAACACGAAACACCTAAACTTCTAAACCTCTGAACTCCTAAACCCCTAAACCCCAAATCCCGAAACCCCCAAGACCCCTGAACCCCCACAAAACCTCCAAATCCCGAAACTCTCAAATCCCTGAACTCCTAAACCCCCAACACCCCTAAACCACCAAAGCCCCTAAACCCCAAAATCCGTGAACCCCTAAGCCCCTGAACTCTCCAAATCTCCCGAAACTCCTAAACCTTAAACCCCAAAC